TAATTTTATATTGTTTTTTTCCTTAATTTAATATTTTTTTTTTAAACTTAACATTATTTTTTTTTAATTTAACAGAGATGTTTTTTTTCTAATTTAACGTTTAATTTAATATTGTTTTTTTTTTTAACTTTCTTTCTTTTCTATTTTTTAATTTATTAGTTTTTTTTTAATTTATTAGTTGTTTTTTTAATTAATTGGTTCTTTTTTAAATTGATCATTTATTTTTTTTTTAATTTATCATTTTTTTTTTTTAATTTAATGTTATTGTTTCTTTTTAATTTTTTAAATATAGTTTTTTTTTAAATTAGTTTTTTTTTTTATTATCGTTAAATTTTTATTTTTATTATTTTAAAGAAGTTTACTATTTATCACCACTGGTAATCATCACCAGTATTGCTATATCTCAAAAACCTACTAAGTAAACAGAATCAGAAACTCTAAGTAAAAATGTTCAGAACCCTTGAAAACCTCACAAGAACTAAAATTAGAACCCTAAATCCAATATATATAATATTATATAAAAAAAACCTCTCTTAAAAATGTATTCTAACTCTAAAACTTTATTATTGCTATATCTCAAAAACCTACTAAGTAAACAGGATTGGTTACTCTAAGTAAAAATGTTCAGAACTCTTGAAAACCTTATAAAAACTAAAATTAGAACCCTATATCTAACCTATATTATATTATATAAAAAAAAACCCTTTTAAAATGTATTTTAACCCTAAAAACTATACTGGTGATAATCACCAGTTGTGAAATGAAGTAATTCTCTATTTTGAATTATTGCCATCATTTTTAAATAAAAGACAACAAAAAATTCAAACTAAGATTCAGCGGAGTTTGAATTTTGCCAATTTTGCAGAAATGCGAAATGCAAAAGTTACATGATGCCACCACTAAGGCAGACTTTAAAAATCTCCAATTAACGGAGTTACTTATGATATGCTAGTCTCTGTCACAAAAAAAGTAATGGGCCCCATGAAATACCCTGCTGATGCAGGGTATTTCATGGGGACCGTCACTTTTTTTTGTGACAGAGATCAGCATATTATAAGTAGGAAGATTTTTCTTTAGCTTTGAGCGAAGATATCTCGATAATTATCTGACTAAATTTGGTGAAAAGTTTTTTATTCGAATTCTACGAATCCATAGAATTCAGATAAAAAGGATTTATTATATTTAGCTTGGTGGTTGTCAAGATATATTCTCTCAAATTTTGAAAATTCTTGAGCGTATGGTCACATGATCGGTCACTTTAACCCGGTATTACTGTCAGCAGGAGAGCGAATAATAAAATGAAGTGCCGGTCTAAATCAGGACAGTAAGCGATATAAGTTTGGAATACAGGGTATTTGTATGTGAGTATAAGAGTTATAGATATATATAGAATTTAATAAGTGTGTATATAAGCAATTGCAAGTGCGCAGTGTATATGTATTGTAAATCAGTAGTAAGATAGTAGATAGATATATACGATATAATGAAAGAAATCACTCAAATAGCTTTATTATAAAGGAGGAATCACTCAGATAGAACCTAAAGTACAAGCAAGACGAATTCATCGGGTTTTTATATATGATAGAATTCCCGCAGCTGTCATTGAATACTTCGGGGACGAATACAAGATATCATTAACAAAACTTCTACAACCTTCCAACCGTCAATGATCAATAGGCTAATAATGTTCTTTATATTCCATCAGTTTCTAAATACTTCCCCGGCAACCAGACTTACCCGATTTGGAAGTAACGACAATTGGACAATCGTGGACCAAAATAGGAAAAGCGGAATTATCAATCACGCTTAAACATCTAGTCGAAAGGCTATCTAATTAATTATATGCGGGGGATTAAAGTAATAACAAATAATAAAATACAAATAAAGAAAATATAATACATGTAATTAAATAATAATAAAACTAATAATAAAAAAAAATGACGTCGCAGAACGATTTTAAGAGTAACACCGGGTCAAAATAGAATTGGCCTAATAAATTTTATGAAAAAAATCACTTGCAAGCATTGTAAAGACTTTATTCAATTAAAATATTATAATTGTAGTACTGCATGACCCTGCTGATACTGTACAAGTTTGTAACTTCAAAAGAACGATAATAGATTTAAAATTGTTTCAGCTATAGAAGTTGGGTTGAAATCAATCCAATTACAGAATTAACGCTGTCTTTAAAATGAAAATCAGTTAGAATTAATACATACACTCTTTTAATCGTACAGCTTGTTTCTACTATAATTGGCTCAAAATGTAATTATAAGGGTAAATGCAAAAAATATTCTCATGGATATAGACGTTCTAAATTGATGTGTCATTTCATTATATTAAATGCAAAAATAAAGAGAATTTTATAGAAAATAATAAATAATATAATGTTGATAACATTACATATTCTTTATTATCGAAATTTACATTGCTTACAATTTTCAAAATTCTATTCTATTTAAGTTGTTTTGAGACTCAAAATCTACTTAAATTGATCCTGAATCTACTTAATTGCTGATCCGGATAAGGCCGTTTGAAATTAAAGTTTCGTTTAACGTTATTTTTTGATATTTGTGCAGGGGGGGTGGGGGAAATTAAACAAACATTAAAATTAAACGAGGTTTAAATGAACCTAAATTAGGTTCATGTGAATCTAAATTAGGTTCATATAAATCTAAATTAGGTTCACATAAACTTATGTCAGGTTCATGTGAACCTAAAAAATTGACTTGACTTAAGCAAATTAAATCAAATTAGCAGCATTCAAATATAAGTTTATTTAATATAAATATCTTAATAAGATAAAAATTGCAATGTTTATAAAAAAATTTTTATCTACATAGCATAATTGCTATAGCGGCGACTACATCTTTTCACTTAAGCAAAATAATCAAAAAGTGGTCTGAATTGTGTTCGTTAATTTTATCTTATCAATAGTCACTAAATTTCTTCGTCTACCATCAATTATTTAAGCAACCTAATTGATTTTAAGCAGTAAACTGTCAACCTGTGATTAATTGAGGAAGTTAGATAATGATAATTAAGATTTTCTTATTTTTTATTTATTCTATTTTACTAACCATTGCCTTCTTCCTCACTATCATTATTATTTGATGGAATAAATTTTTTTTGTGCTCTTTTATGCCATGTTTTTCCATTATTTTTACAAAATTCACACAACGGATATATAGTTTTCCATTTAGCTTTTAGTATATCTAAGGGTTCTATAAGATTTTCGGATTCTCCACACCAATAGCAAATATCAAATTTTTTAAGCCGCCATGAAAAATATATTGTCTCGATAGGAGAATCACATGTAAGATTTAATCTAACGCTTATTTGATCCAAAAGTTCATGATCTTCCAGTAATAATTGTGACCCACATGTATAGCATAAACCATCAAGTGTAGATTGAAGTTTGATTTCTTCATCAGTTGTTAAATTGGTATCACTATAAATACATCGCATTTTTCCACAGTGTTCACATAAAATTGTACGTCGAATTTTTGAATTAATAAATTTGCCAGTTTTATTTTTATTCATTTCTTCATTAGCAGTTATGTTTATTGTTGATGGACGAAATCTTTCTGATGTTGGTTGGCCGTAAATTTTATCAAAATCTTTATAATGGTCTTGATCATTTTCTAATGGTTCAGGATCAGGAATAAAAGATAAAGTTTGAAAATCTTCTTGTGGCATTCGAACTTTTTTACATATTTTACATTCATATCTATTACATTTCATTATCTGAAACATATAATTTCTGACACGACAATGGCTTTTAATAAAATTATAATAAGATTTTCTTTTTTGTAATTGATTCATTGTAGTCATAGACTTATCTAATTCAGGATCAATTCGAGCTATTATTTTAAAAAATGTATCAATATCATCTTCAGATGCTGGGTTATTAATTTCAAAATAATCATCATGTAATTTTAATCGTCTAATTCGATCAAATAAATATTTTGTACACTATCAATTGACATTTGTAATTCATGTTTTAAGATAGAATTTTTCTGTGCTTCTTTACGAATTGCATCTAATATATATAATTTTTGAAAAATATCTTCTGATTCATTAGACATTTGTTCTCGTTGAAGTGCAACTCTCTGAAGACCAAGATTAAGAACGGACATTATTCGTTTAGCAGGATTTGCCCAGCTATGAAAAGGTGCTGTACGTGCTGCAATAATTAAATCAAAGTCTCCATTTAAAAAAAGTACAATAAGTGAAATTTGAACAGAACCAAAAGTGCATCGATAATCAGGACCTCCATTCATATAAACTATAACTACTTCTTGTAATGAATCAGCACTTAAATAATTTTGTTCTATTGAATCGTAGAATTCAGTAGCATGTCTAAGAGCCGAGCTAGCCTGAAATGTAGTATCTTTTAATGAGATATACACTTGCCCAGCATAAAATGACTGAATCGGATCATCTGGAATTTTAGCAAATAAAGATACAGAAGGAGTAATTGAAAGTTTTGTAAAATCATGGTCTGCTGCTGAAAGTTCTATTTGTGTTGAGGTCGCCATTTTTTTATTTCGAACTCCAGTACTAGTTGGTACTAATTCTCCAATTGGTATTTTATGTTTATCATCTGCAAAAATAAGGCAAGTATATTTTTTATATTTTGATGCAAAATGTCGAATATATTTAAAGATTGCTTGACAGTAATGAGCATCAATATGAGTTTTTCTTAATTGCCGTGTTTGCACCATATATTTAATCTGAAAACGTCCTGTGTATTGTGCACTTGCTTTGTACCAAGGATTTTTTGGACAAAACTGATAAGAAATCCATCGATCAGATGGTATTAAATGATTATCAGAAAAAGGATATTCATTATATTTATTTTCTAACCGTTCAATGATTGATTCTCTTAAATCACGAACAGAAATAAAACTAGGTAAGTAAAGCATATTATTATGACGTCTTTCATGTACAGATGGAAGATTTTCTTCAAAATAACATTTCATCTCACTCCAAAATTCATCAAACTTAGTTCCTTTAAATCCACTATTTATACGCATATCTATAACGATTTCTGGATCTCCAAGTTCAAGCATTATTTTTACTCTTTGATTCATTTCAGCAGAGTGTGAATTGTCTATTGCACTTGAATCACCAACTAGATCATAATAAAGATAACACAATGTACTTGGAGTAACTTTTGTTATTAATGAATATTTTGCAAAAATATTTCATCTCATATAATGTGTAAAGAACTGAGGTAACATTGATTGTGTTCGAATTATTGCTTGCGCATTTTTTGTTTCATCTCGCAATTCAGGATTTTCAGAAATTTTCCAAGCAAAGTTTAATGTCCCCAAGTAATTTCCATGATGATACCGATATAGCATAATTGTTGAATCTATAGTAAGATTTAATAAATAGTAAAATCGCTTTTCTTTAGTTTCAGGTAAAAATTCTTCTAGTGATATAATTTTATATTCATTGGCTGCTCTAATTCGTTCGGCAATTGGAAAATAAATTTCTTGCATAGTATTTATCGCACATAAAGATCGCATTTCAAGCACACTATCTTTTTCTGGACTTCGTGCTGGAGCAGATGAAGATTGAATTCTTTGAACATGCAAATTAACTGTTTCTAAATACTTAGCATATGTACGAGCTACTGAACATAGTTCTAATGTTGCAGTTATAATTTCATTCCAACTAGGTTTGCTTGCCCATGGTTGTAAAACGCATTCTTCTAATTTATCAGCATGAAGTTCTAATTCTTTACGTCTTAATGTAGTTTTATGATGTGTTCCATTTTTATAATATGAATTTTGTTGATATAATGGCAATTGAAAAAAGATTGATGGTATTTTAAGACTACGTAATTTAAGCGTTTTGTGCTTATCATCCAAATAATAAAGAAGAGATACAAGTTTATTGATAAATGCTACGCCAAGTGAATTTTGCGTTCCATATTCCCAACCAAGATTTTTACTGCGTAAAAGTTCTAAAATATCATTATATAACTGATCATTACGATTTGTTGATGGTTTTGAGTTAGGCAAACATTTTTTAGCTGCCGCATTCATCATTTCATTAAAAACATTTGATGCAAAAGAAATTTGACTTGTAGTAGATATTGAATGTTCATTCTGAATTGTGAATTTAATGTGCGATATATTTTGTTCTTCATGCGTACACATTCTCAGACATCCATTTAAACCAGATGCCACCATATGCCATATGTTTGTGCCTCGAACTTGAATATCAACTCTAACAACTTCCTCAGAAACATAGTCACTATCTGCTTGATAAAGTAGATCTTCAAAAGTCAAGTTTTCATCGACTTCAAATAATACAGCAGAAAGAATTGTTTTACCATCTCTTATTACGGATACAAAAGGAAAAATCATTTTTGTAACATAAAGTTCGATGAGCCAAGAAAAAAATTATTGTTATATCTGATCAAATTTAGTATATCCATAATATGTACAATTTTAAAATTCTAACTAAATATGAATAAGTATCTTTAGTACGTATCACTATACAGTATTGTCATGTGGATTGGTAGTAGATGGGTTCCCACTATTAATTATGTGGGCGCTGCTTTAATTCGTTTTACATTAAATAGGCTTCAACGGTGTTTACTATTCAACATGCCTACATAACACTACTACAACAACGGCACACAAGACACTACAGAACTAGTTTCACAGGTAAGCAGCGTTTTATTAACGTTTAGGCACTTGTCAATTACTAGAGAAAGAAAAAGCTAACTTTTATTACTAATTCTTTACCTCTATATATACTAATTTGAGTCTATTAGACTACAAATTAGTGACGACAAATCCTCAATCTAAGCTATATTAGACTATCATCTATGACGCACAAATTATTAATATACTTTCTTGTGTCACCAACTGAGCATATCTCTGATTACATATTATCTTTATGCAGATCACTGATCACACAACTTTCGCGGTCCCATGGGACCTCAAAATCACGTGCCGACTTCGAACCCGATCGATCGAGACTTGGATTTTCGAAGCCCAACCCCGAATATAATGTATAGGGTATCGACCACTGTCATGACAAGTATTTATCGTTATCATTATTGTAGCATTTGATTCAAGCAATATTTTTATTGGTTGCTCTAATTGTTTAATTTAAGGGGGGGCAGTTTAAGACGGAGGGGGGAATAACGTTAAACAAAGTTTTAATTTCAAACGGCCTTATTTAGAAAAGAAAAATTTATAATTTTTTAAAAAATTTTAATTTTAAAAATTTTTTCTGTTTTTTTAGTTTTACTCAATAAAAATATAAGATTGACCCCCCTATTA